TGCACTGTGGGTCCCACCTGTCCTGTGCTGTGCACTGTGGGTCCCACTCATTTCACAGCTTAGTTTCACTGTGTGTTCTCTGTAAAGCAGACCTTCAGAAGGTTGGTGATGGCAACAATGAGGTAAAGGGTTGGCATACATTTATCATTTTACTACTATTCTCACTACTTATACTTTCGGTCTAACAGTAAATCCAAAATTCTTGACAGTAACATAGAAACATATGTTGCCAAATGCCATCTTTATCCCAAGTCATCAGCTTTAAACAGTAATGTGAAAGTGTCTGACAAAAGCTTACCAAACACTGGAATTCTACACTGTCATCACAAAGACAAATACTCATTATAAACACCCTTACTTGTCTCTTGTCACTGAGTTTTGAGGGTCACAGCATGATCAGTATCAGAAAGCTAAGAACAACCCATGCCTCACCTTCAATAGAGACAGTAGGTATCTGGCTGAAGTGTATTAGAGAAGATGTCAGTAACTGCTATGAACCATCAGTACAGGGGAAAGGGAGAAAGGAAAATAGCTGAAAGGCTAAGAAAACTAACAGATGACCCCATACCATTACTGTTGTCTAGTGTTCAGTGTCTAAGGCACACAGCACACAGAAACCCTCAGGCATAATTCTCCAACGTGTGTAATAGAATCTCTTGGCTAATCTTCAGTCCACTAAACTGGACTCGGAATCACCTAGAAGAAGAGTCAGATCTCTGGGTGCATCTTTGTTTGTGTTTCTAGAACTAACTGCAAAGGAAAAATGTACCTTGCACATGGGTGGTATCATCCCACTGTCTGAAGCCCACACAGCATAAAGGGGAAAAAGTGAATGTCTGTATTTCTGTCACCCTATTGCCTGGCCCACCATGGCAAAATGCTTTCCCCGACATGATGATGTACTGAAATCATCAGCCATAATCAACCCTTCTTCCCTTAATCTGCCCATCTCAGACATCCTTATCTCAGTGACAAAAAGTCACTGTACTCAAGCACTTCTGCACAAAGAAAAAGAAGAAAGTAACCATTACTCCAGAAAGAGACAGGCAAGACTCAGAGGGCAAAAGCAGCTGCCAAGGAAGCCCACCAGCCTGACTTCAATCCCTGTATGCCACAGTGAAGAGACCCAACTCCAAATTTTGTCCTCTGACCTCTCCATATGCACGTACACACACACACACACACACACACACACACGCACGCACACACGCACACGCACACGCACACACTCAATAAATACAATGTAAAAAAAAAAAACAAAAAACAATTAAAGCCGGGCGGTGGTGGCGCACGCCTTTAATCCCAGCACTTGGGAGGCAGAGGCAGGCGGATTTCTGAGTTTGAGGCCAGACTGGTCTACAGAGTGAGTTCCAGGACAGCCAGGGCTACACAGAGAAACCCTGTCTCGAAAAACAAAAACAAAAAAAATTAAAACCAGAGAAACCAGAGAGAACTCCGTGCAGTCATGCCACCACACCCTGTAGTTTGTAACCACTGCAGTACTGGTCAGGTCTTAAAGATGCATCTGCTCCAAACCCCAGAAGATAAACCAAAGTGGTACCACTACAGAAAACTAGGCTTCTGCATTCCCAATGGATGTAAAAAACAAAAATCTTTACAGAAACTCTATGGACATTATTGGTTCCTTGGGCTTACTATGCCCCGACTCCTCTTTTTCTGAAGGTGGGTCTTACTATATAGCCTAGGATGGTGTTAGACATACTTACATACAGAGCCCAGAGGACCCAACACTTGTGACACGTCTCTTACAGATATATGACATCACATTCATCTAAAGAAGTGCTGAGGAGACCAGCTGTGGGACTGTGAACTACCTTCATCTCCCTTAGTTAAATGAGTCTCCTTCATGGGGGAAGCTCCTAATAAAATCTCAAAATTCACCCTAATCAACTGACCTTTGCTTAACAGTGGCAACTACAATGTTTTAAAAGCATCTACTCACACCAATCTCAGTGAGATCTTGGATCATGTACTTATTCCAGAAAAATCGGTCATCAACCTAGAAAGGTAGAGGAAAAGATCAGCTCAGAAACACTTTAGTTCCCTATAAAAGGCAAACAGGCACTGGTCAGGAGCCAACACTGCTCTGCGTTGGGAGCATACCTTCTGCCACAGGGGACGGCCATCCCTCTGCCTAGTGCTCTGCCTCTGCACAGAGTTGGTCAGGTCATAGGTCAAGCTATAATAGAAGGACTCTGAGTCCATGAACATCTTCAGTAACTCCTCAAGCAAACGCCTCTCCAGTTTCTCCTTTTCTTTACTTTCTTTAACCTGTAAGAAGTCAATCTGTAAGTCAGGAATCAGATGAAAAGTTAATAGATAATGCAAGACTTCAAGTAAAGACAATCCTCAAAACACAGGACAGTCTTCTGATATAGGAAAGAAAACGAAAGCTTCCAGATAGATTTATTTACCCTCAACTTATGACTAATCAATGATGGATTTAAAGCCCATGTCAATCAAACTCTTACTTTCTTTTTGTTGGGAGCAGACACGTTGGATTTGATATTCGTAAATGTCTTCAGTAGAAACTTGGAGTCATCAGGAGATGATATAATCTTCTCAGGCTTGTTAATTCCAAAATGATGCTTCTTACAGAGCTAAGTAATTTTTTAAAAGGATGATTCATTATTAATTATTATCTGCTTTAGATGTTCAAGCATAAGTACAGAAATGAATGCTACTACATTTGGGTTAAAAAATACACCCTAAGGATTAGTGAAATGACTGAGCAGGCAGAATATAGCTATGGTTTCAATAATTAGAAGATGCACTACAAATAATTCACAATACAGGCAAGACATCCTTAGGGCTAAAGGGAGCAAACCCAGGTTCAGAGCATGGTTTACTCTTCTCTAACAAGTCCAAGAGAGACAATGTTCTGTTCCGCTCGAGGTTATTAATGCTTTGAAAACTGGCATCACAGAGCAAAATATTACAAAATACACATCTGCTGTGCCTCAAGGTCATTACAAACATCTGTGTTAAGTATTCATTTATGCTAACTACCTGAGTGTTGTGGTTGAGAAGATGCCCTGACCTCCTCTACTAGGAATCTTAAACGCTGGACCTTTCAACAGTCTCTCCTATCTTTATACACAATAATGAAATCAGAAAATAACATGATCTGAGTCCAGAGATTGGTTAAATTAATTAGAGGATGGATAGATAGATAGAGATAGAGAGATAGAGACAGAGAGATAGAGATAGAGAGATAGA